ACACTCGATCAAGTGGGGAGTTCGCTAAACATGCTAATTTCTGTTTCCCACTCTCAAGATTTTGACTCTGTAGGAGGGGCCAAAAAAAGCACACTCTCTTTGCTTTTGGAACAAGTTTTTTAACAGGCCTTCTGGGCCACTTGGACAAAGGTGCTAAAAGACTATGCTTTGGGAGACAATGTCCTGGACTGTGGTCCAGAGAAATCTAAGGGTGCCTTCCCTGACCACTGGCTCACAAGCCTTCAGGATAAAGTGTGGTGACGGAAGTGGCCCTGACCTCTGTCTATGTCACAGCTCTATACGGTGACTAATCCGGCCCCCTTTCCCTCTGGCTTTGCACGCCTGCCTTCCTTGGCCAGGAATGCCCTTTCCACCTTCCTTCTTGGTCACATTCTACTCATCCCTCAAGGATGGAGCTTAATGACACCTCTGCTGAGAGTCTTCTCTAACCTCCCAGGCTGGGTTAGCTCCTGGTGCTCTAGCTCCCATAAATGATCTCTACCTCATTTTCATTAACAATAGTGATAACTGTGCCCGGCACTGTTCAAGGTGCTTTATGAATATTAGCTCACATACTATCCTTTACCATGCCTATGCATTAGGCTACTCTCATTATTCCCATTTTACAGGTGAGGAAAGGTGGCATGGAGAGGGTCAACAACTTGTCTGAGGTCACACAGCCTGTAAGTGGCAAGATGAGGATTGACTTAGGCATTCTAGCTCCAGCTCATTCTTCTCCACCCCCACATCCCTCCACCAGCCACTGTAGCTGCCCCTTTCCTGCCCTGGCATCCTGCATGATGTGTGGGTGTCTGCTCATCACTCTCCTCCAATGGATAGCGAGCTCCTGCAGCCCCTTGAAGGATTAAACTCCCAACCCAGGGTGTAATGGCATTTGTTGAAGGCAAAGCTGTGCACACTCGTGGCAGTGGATCAACAAAGACAGATAAAATTCATAAAGCTTTGAGGTCTGAAGAGATTTTAAATGGAATCAGGTTGAGTGACTCATGCTCTACTCTTCATAGAGAAATGCACCCAAGTTTGCACACCAGTCATCCCACCTCCGCAACACTGACATGTAGAAAGTTCCAGCTTACACTTAAACTGGAACATGTCCCCAAGACCAGGTGGGCCACACAACACAGGTTCTTCAGACATCAAAGACAGCCCTGGCTTTTGCTTCTCCAGGTTTCCCTCCCTCTTCCACCAAAGGATCTGAACTTTCAGTCCATCTTGCACACTTCCCTCTGACATGCTCTGGTCAAGTGGGTCCCACCCAACAAGTGATACCAAGTTATGGTGCCAGTCCCCAAGTTAGATGGACCCTGGTCATGCCAATGAATGGATCAAAAACAACTAACATGTATGCTACTATCTCACAGCCTTTCCCTGACAAGTAAGTGAAGCATCAGAGCCCCAGCAGCTTTTGAGGCACAGGCGCTCTGTTTGCTGAGGATCGCACATGGCAACGTGGCTTTGCCATGGCTTAACAAGTTAAAGTTTGGCTTTGTCTGACCCTCTCTTTGGTTTCTCTATCTTCCATATATAAGTGAGACTATCTGGTATTTGTTTTACCTTCTTACTTATTTCACTTAGCACAGTCTCCAGCTCCATCCATGTTACAAATGGTGAGAGTTTACCTTTTTCATAGCTGACTAGTATTCCATTGTATATACATACACCACATTTTCCTGATTCACTCTTCTGTTTTTGGGCATTTAGGTTATTTCCACAGCTTGGCTACTGTAAATGTTGCTGTAATGAACATAGGAGTGCATATATCTCTTTACATTAGTGATTTTATATTCACTACTTAGGAGTGGAACTCCTAAGGGTTCCACATGGTAAACCCATTTTTTAATATGTTGAGAACCTTGACTTTTGCTGGAATGAAAGTTCTTGTATAGTCTCCATCCTCACACCAACATCACTGAGCAGCAACCATCAGCTCCATTTTACACAAGGGGAAACAGAGGCTGTTGGAAGTAGAGACTGCCCAGCACAAGGCTGCTAAGAACAAGACTCAAACCCATGGTAGCCACTCCAGAGGCTGTGGGTTTCTGCCATGCAGCCACATGGGAAACTCTGGCAGTAAATGAGCATTAGGAAAGCATTAAGGAAAGGTTGGAGCGAAGCAGGAAAAGGGACAATTACAAATGAGCAGAAACATAACTACCCATTCACAAGTGTTCACATCTGACAGTCATTTCTTGCTGCCCAAAAAGAGTCATGTTGGGAAGCCATTTTTCCACTTATGCATGTTTTAACTAGAACAACTAAAGATATTTATGCTTCATTTATTCTCTCCTACAATTTGAACACTGGAAATTCAGAATGTTCCTATTTCTAGACTAAAAGCCATCAAGGGCTTGAAAATACAAAGTAAATGATTCTCATTTAACAGCTGTTAGCATAGAACAAGTCATTAACATAATTTAAAATGAATATATTTTGAGAAACCATGAACTGTATCTTTTTCTCTTTTGAATTCTTTCCCTACCACATTAGCCCCCACAGTGTTGAAAATTGCCCAACACAAAAATGTAGGTAATGAATATAATATGGGCTCACAGATACACTTTCTGATTCAAGAGGAAGGAATGTTTATTTAAACAATCACATTTTTAAATTTTAACCTTGGTCATAACTTTCTCGTATTTGAAACATCTGAAAATGAAAACTACCAACAAGATAAAACAAAATACAATTATTTCCAAAAGCAAAACTGCCTTGCTTACTTAATGCATGAAGAACCCAACCAAGTCATATTCAACAGACTCACAGGAATTATATGAGCTCATTTGTTATTCAAAAACTGGTTAAAAGACATGGTTAAAAAATAAAAGACCCTTCTGTTTTGGGGTAAGGGTAAAAACATAAGTATTATTTAATACCCCTTTGTATTGCAAAATAGTGCAATCTCTTATTGCCATAATGATTAGCAACCCATAAAGCAAATAATGGAAAACAATTAAATTTCATTTCCAGAGATATAAGTAGGTGTCAAAGTTACAAAGTTTACCTAGAAGCAGAAGAACAGCAAGAACGTCCATATCTTAAGACCTTCCCGGGAGTGCAACGATCCAAAAATAAAGAGCATAGAACCCAGGCAGGCTCATTTACCCAGCAAAATTTTCCTTAAAAAAGTATGGCTGAAAATTGGCTCTCCTAAAACAGAAGGTACTTTCAGAAGAGTTATATAAGCAAAGTACACAGGCCAATTCAGTGACATGGAAACCACCTCATGCGAGAGCCACGCAGCAAACACAAGTAACCCACATTCATGTCTCAGACCTTGTCAGCGTCGCAGAATAAAATTCAAGTTTGATTGTAACATCCTGCCTTTCCAACTAGCGGGTGGAAAATTTTTTAATGAAGTTATAAACAAACTACTGAGAGTCCTAACACATTTTTTGGAAAGGCTTCATATTTAACAGCTCATTAACCATCTGGAGTATCTTAACATTTCTTATGCTCACCTTTTCTTGGATTCTCTCCCTATTCTAGAAGGATCTAATGAGTATCTTTCATTCTCCTTACATGAGAAAGAGCCTGGCATGAGTACCTGATGTGTGCATGGGAAGAGGTCACAAAACGCACGTGGGTTGGGAAACTTGCTCAGCACCGTCTTTCTTCAAACCACCTTCTCCAAAGGCCAAGTCTTCCCTGTGGTGCTCCACACACGCAGAACAGCCTTCTCCACCACCTGCTCTTCTTTCCATCATTCAAATGGCAACAGATATGCCACCTTCTTGCAGCACCACCCCTGGCAGTGATGAGTGCCAAGCTCCTGTCTCCCGTTCATGAGGGTGAGGTGGTGAGATGGAAAGGAAGCAGGTGACAGCAAACACAGTTTCCACATGATACAGGTATGTTCCCAGCAAGGGAACTCCAGCCAGCCTGCTGCCTGCTTTTCAGAGCAAGTGTAGTCCCACTCATTCATGTAATAACCATTCACAAAGCACCATTATGTGGCTGGCAGTGCTGGTATCTGGGGTACAGAGGGAAATGGGACCTGGTCCCTGGTCCCGAGGAGCAGACAGTCTTGCAGAAGGACATAAGAACGGAAGATCACGATAATGTGTGGATAGTGAAATAAGGGGAGCAGGGCTCAGGGCATCCTAGATGTACACCAAAGAAGCACCAAACCCAGTTGGGGGGTTCATGGAAGGCTCCTGGAGAAGAAGAGGGCTGAGTGAACTATGTGAAAGAAAGGATGGGTGGAGGATAGAAGGAGAGCATCCCAGGCCAGGGGGCCGGTGGGACCACCAAGAGGGACTGGCACATGCAGACAAGAAAGTCAAACAACTTGGCAAAGCTACGAAACACATAGAAGGAGTGAGAAGGGGGATGGAGGGTCAGGGGCCTCCCAGAAGACCGAAAACCACCACTGAAGAGTTGCAGCCAAGGAGGTGTTGGATCAGATCTGTGTTTGAGGGTATCCACTTTTGGAGTAGAGAGCTGCATGTATCTGGGGTCTAGCCTGAGCCCAGGCTCCCAGAGAAGGGCAAGCGAAGATTGGGGAGGTCCACTGACTGCCTGCATCAGCCAAGCTCTTGTCTGGCCACATGGGCATACCATGCACCGTCCCCGCTGCCCAATGGGCTGTGTTTGGCACCAGTAACCTAGTACCCACCTTCCCCTAACAACTCCAATCCCATGGCCCACTGTGCGTAAAGTGGTCACCCAGCCCTCTGTGGGGTGCAGTCAGAGAAGGAGACAAGGTACTGCAATGTATGTCCAGAATCTGGAGACTACTAGGCAGATCAGGAATCCATGCAGAAGCCAAGCACAGGTCGCAAGGCCTAGTGAGAGCTCCTGTTCCTCACCTAAAACAACATTCACAGGTTTAAGGTTCCTACTCTCACCCGCCCACCTTTAGCACCCACACAAAAGGGCTGGGTTGTTTTCGATCAACACTGAAAATAACATTTTCAATGAAAAGTGTTCATTTCACAAACTAAGGCCTTGCTTCCGAGGAGGCAGTGCAGGACACTCACAGAACTGCAGGCTGAGGCTCAGGACGGCCAGCAGTGCAGCCAGCGCCAGCAGCAGCAAGAAGCGATTGCGGAAAAGCATTCTTATTTGCTCTATTTGCTCTTCATGGTTTCACCTCAAACTGGGAACTCATCCTGTGAATAAAGCAGAGGCAATAAATATATGTGGAGAGGTGGAAAACCAAATTTGTCAACTAAAAATAATCCAATTAGTTCAGTCCTCCTGAAAAGAAGCATGAATGCTACTTGAACAATGCACACTCTAT